TCCGGATCACGGTCACTTTCCGGATCCCGGGAGAAAAGGGACAATATTTTTTTCCCCTTCTCTCTTTGAGCATTTCTCAGCATGAATTACGTACTATTTGCCTCACAGATCACAGAGGCTCCATCACATACAGCATCAAACCTCGCCACATTTCTTGAAATTAGAAGGTGATTCCCTCTCAGTGACTCCTGTCAGTGTCAAGACATCCTAGGCGAAGCTGAGCAGATGATGGTTGGATGGGTTCGTCCGCGTGACACCGCGAGGGCGGGCACGTCCTCAGCTGGGTCACCCTCTGCTGCGGGTGATCCACGGGCTCTAAAGTGTCTGGCACAGCATGTCACTAAAAACGTTCCCATTTCAGATTGACATCATCCTTGGTTCAGCCTCACGCATCTTGGCTCTCTGCAGGTCTCAAAAAAGGATGGATGGTATCTGTTTTTATTTCCCGCTAGGCTCGATCATCAAGCGTCTTCTAAAGCCCAACTCATGATGCTAGTACACAGTTGATAATCCCGTTCCCATTCGTCATGTAGCATAGAGGCATGATGTGTGAAGTGTCAATGATTGAATTCCTATCTAGAGTCTGCCGCGGCATGACTCTCATCATGTTGACATGCAACCACTTTAGACGCCAGCCCGTAGAAACCCAAATCCCAGAAGAAAGCCGAAACCACTAACTTAAGCCTCGGAGGCGAAAGCATCGGGGAAGCGCTTCATGTTCTTCTCGAGGCTGCCGTGGTTGGCAAGGAACTGAACGTAGGCACCGTCGACCTTGACGCGGCCAGCAGCCTTCTTCTCGAGGTACTCCTCGCGGCGAAGGGGGGTGAAGCCCCAGTTCTTGGAGATAATGATTTTCTGGCGACCAGGGAACTTGTACTGGGAGCGGCGGAGGGCCTCCAGGGCGGTGGCCTTGTCTGTTTTGTGTGTTAGTGACATCATTTCCCACAAATCTCAGAATGAGGTAAAACGTACTGGAGTCACGAGTGCGGATGGACATGATGATCTGGCCAATGTTGACACGGGCGACAGTGCCGTTGGGCTTACCCCAGGCACCACGCATACCAGTCTGAAGTCTATCGGCACCGGCGCAAGACAACATCTTGTTGATACGGACGACGTGGAAGGGGTGGGCGCGGACGCGAAGGTGGAAGGACTCCTTTCCGGCAGTCTTGACGAAGTACTTGTTGGCGCAAATGCGAGCGGCCTCGAGGGCCTCGGAACTCAGCTGCTCATACTCGTTGGAGACCATGTGGATGCAGAGAGGGAAGTCATCGACAGTCGCCTTCTTGCGGCCAAGATCGAAGATGCGAATCTTGGGGTCGGGGACACCGCGGTTGAAGCGCGACTTAGGGTACGGCTGAGGAAAAAAATGATTAGTATGACGACCAAAGTCTGAATGATGGTCCCGGGCCTGCGACAATCTCCAACATCCCACTTCGTCAAGTGCGTCATTCCGATCGTCGAAAAGCAGAGAAAATTTCGCCTTCTTCGCTGCGATAGTGTTGCCTCTTCCCAGCCTGCACTTCGGTCCTCCTATTTCAATCGTTCGATGGGTGGGATTTCGTGGGATGTCGGAGTTCGCGGGGGTCCAGGATTTGACGGAAGTCGCTCACCTTGTTCTTGCAGTACCGGTAGCAACGAGCGGGACGACGGGCCATTTTGACGGTATTGAGATCTCACGGGATCACTCGTTACTGCTGTGGGTTGGTTAGTTGGTGGGATGGGATTCGTCTCCAGAACCTGGGCGTCACTCACTTTTGAATAGGTTGCGGCGATTGCGATCAGACAAGGTCAATACGATTGATTTCTCAGCAAAGCGGAATGAGCAGGTGGCCATCCCGGGATCCACTTTAGGGTTAAGAGCGCGGTGAATCCGCACCGTTGATTGGGTGCACCTTGCCGAAGTGACTCCCCGGCGTGTGGGGCTTACAAATCGAAAAAATAAACTCCAAAACTCCGCGATCTTTTTTCCTTTGAGAACGACAACCAGCCTCAACGCCCAGCGACCACCAGACCTAACCACCCAGCCTATTCACCCGACAAATCATTCGCAATGGCTCCCATCAAGAAGGCGAAGAAGGACCAGAACTCCATCAACAGGTATGCCGGCTTGGATCCAACTATCTTGCTTCAGCAAATGTCTAACTTCTTCGTAGCAAGCTTGCGCTTGTTGTCAAGTCTGGTCGCATCGTGCTGGGATACAAGGAGACCCTCAAGACCCTCCGCACCGGCAAGGCCAAGCTCGTCCTGATTGCTGGCAACACTCCTCCTCTCCGCAAGTCTGAGCTCGAGTACTACGCCATGTTGAGCAAGGTCCCCGTTCACCACTTCGGTGGCACCAACGTAAGTTGTTCTCGCATTCAAGGGAGCTGGCAACGCCTCGCTCCCTGCCTTCTCTTGCTACCGATCTCGAAGACCTCCAGTCTCTTGGTCAACCCAGCGAAGAAGTCTATCAGGCTTTGGAGGGTGAATAAAGCTAACTTGCTATCCCTCCTCAGATCGAGATGGGAACTGCCGTCGGAAAGCTCTTCCGTTGCGGTACCTTGGCCATCATTGATGCCGGTGACTCCGACATCCTCAGCGACCAGGTCGCTTAAGTGGATTGAGTCCGGTCTGGCTGGTAACGGCGTTGGGGAATATGGTCGAAGGAAAAGGAAAAATGCGTCCCGCAAATCGGGATCGCGGCTAGGGATATGTCGCTATGATACCTCGGGATTGTCAAAAGGACATGACTTTATGAAAGATCATAGGCACTTTGAATCAAAAAGGACTCGCCTGTTACTCAGCCATTTTACGATGACCATCTGTGCGGTTGGATCTCGAATACCTTCCAACATCCAGTGATACTTGAACCGATGGAACCCGCCACCTGGAATCTGAGAAGGCCCGATGCATTGCACCATGCCAACTCCAATAATATGGTAGCCAAATGTGAGATAATAGTATCTGGCTAAACCCGACTTCGCAAAGAATTATTTGTTGCCATCGAGTGATGCTTGGTTCATATACCACACCTCGACCAGGCCTTGGCGTCAAGTGCCTTGGCCATTGTAGAGTTGGCTCCTTGCTTCCCGTCCCGCCATCCCTGTGCGCGGAAAGTAACCAGCATCTGGTTGTCGAGCCCGATGCCTACCATTTTACCGGTTCATGGTCGGGAAATTGGCAAGAGGTCTGACAGGGCTTCTAGGCCTTGAACCTGAATCTGGAAGGCCGTCAGAAGTTTTGCATTGATGGCAACATGAGAATAATTTCACGATTCCCACCACGGTGAGTTCTGGCCGGTCAAGTGCAAAGTGCCGTCCAATGACTCGATGGGATCCCTGGGTACAAAGACGGGCCGAGCCCACTAACATCGATGGTCTCCGCATTACGGCTGCTCACCACGGGGACAATAGGGGTGCAGATTGCGCGGGACCCCTACCCGTTGCATGTGCTTGCTAAGACAGCTTGGTGGCTGTCTGCTACTGTCAGGTACCAGTTCTCTTGACAGTTAACCAGCAGACGGACGGTTGTAGTAGAGGCTAAAGTGAAGCGAACACGACCAAGAGCTGCCCACCAAGGGCAATGCCTGGCTGTTTGGACAGCGAACGAGGGTGTTTTAGTCGGGAGCCAGAACGCATTGTGATCCTATTCGTTCATAACGGTTCTTGTGGCCTACGTGTTGTTGTTATTGAGAACGCGATGAGCGTGGTATTACTGAGTGAATCGGTCTATAAACGAACTTGATAATCCTCCAGTTCACAAAGGCCACCTAGAGATCAGCTTCCCCGAGTAGCCCAAAAACTCGGAAAGAAATTCTACGGTACCCAAAGAAGGTTATCATTCATCCCATCTCAACCAAATACGAGACGGCGTCTGCAGCATCTCATTCGCAGCGCTGGCCACTGCCTGGCACTGCCGTTATTGTCCGTCATCCACTCAAGCTGCGAGCACCGGGTGACCAAGAGATTGACTGAAACGAGAGTTACCTCGGACGCATCCCAACGACTTCAGTCTCAGCTCAGCGCGCAACGCAATACGGGACCAAACAAGAGACTGAAAGGGAGGGAAAAGATTCATCGAAAATAGCACGCCAGAGAAGGTTTTCGTTGCCTGACCTACCACACTAAGTTGCGCCGTCAAGAAGGTGTCGAACCACCCGAGAGTTCCACGGTGACCTACCATACCTGATCAGGTACCTACGGATGGGCTTTGCTGGGTGACGGTCAGTCTTCAGAGGAGGCGTTCGCAGGTAACCTTAGTTAAGGTAATTGGCTGCGTCCACGGCATTCCCGTCTACTTGCAGGACGCTCAAGCAACGCAGCCCGGCGAAAACGTTTAGTGGCGCCGGGGTTGGAAGGGTGAAGAGCATTGTTCTCGTTCCATTCCTCGTTTCCTGGTTGGCCCACGTCTTCCCCTTCCTGCACGGCCTAGCGAATTAGACCCCCTGGAGCAGCCCCGAAATATCGGAAATTCACTGCAACCTGTGGACTGGACAACCGACACCGACACCGACACTCGCTGCACTTCCCGTCGAAAAGAAGAGAGGAACCGCAAGAACCTACGTTACTCCGTCCTTGCCTACCTACCTACCTACGAATACAAAGTACTTAGGGTGTATGAGAGGCACTTGCTGGGGCTGACACCGTCTGACTTAAGCTTGCAAAGCTGCTGCTACACACCCTCCCGTTCTGCACCGCACTCTCCTATTTGGCTACTATTTGCCTTTCGCATATCTGGGGAGCCCAACGATCGACAACTTTCCCGCTGTCGTGTATTCCGCGTCACCTGTTCCAAGAATAAGCGACTACATACATTTGGTGAGATAGCCTCTTCTCTCTGGAACGGAACATCGTCACTACAGAAATAACTTTTCGCACTGCCCTTGACCGCCAACTCTCTTTTTTACTTCCTTTTTCTCCTCTCGACGAATCTCCCCGCTTACCTCCGTTTCCCCAGGTAACCCTCCGCTGCGAACTACAACAACAACCATCGCCACAACAAACCCTCACCGCGATACCATGTCAGCTGCTACAGCAAAGAAACCGCCCGCTGCGGGCGTCGGTCGCGTTTCCTCTACAGATTCTGCATCAACACCTGCTTCTCCTACGAGAACGCCAACGCGATCCTCCACGCCCACCGCCGCTTCTGCTGCGCGCAGAGCACCTGCTCGCTCAGGAACTCCCGTGTCCGCTCGTGCAGCCGCAACAAGACGGGATTCTGTTCTGAGCAACGGCAACGGCAATGGCAGTTCTGAGGCCGAGGAGGCTGCGAGAGCCGAGACCCTTGCGCTATTGGACGACCTCAAGGAACGCCTTTCCAAGGCCGAGATCTCCTCTGATCAGTACAGGAAACAGGTCGAAGTGCTGCAGACGAGATTAGACGATGCAATCAAGGAGTCCTCCAAACTGGAGGAGAAGGTGCATGAGACGGAAGAGCAGATTGAGACACTGCGAAACGAGAAGAGAGATGCCGCCAAGAAGATGCGTGAGATGGAAGCAATCTACGAGGCCGAGCGAAGCTCCATGACCAAGGAGAAGGAAGAAATGTCCAACAGAGAGGAGGAGATGCAGACAATCATCCAAAGACTGAAGGACAACTTGTCGCAGCGGAATGATGAGGAGGGCCGTCCTTCAAGGCAATGCAAGTTTCACTCTGTCAAATCAGAAGGCCCAAAGCTAACATTTCTTCAGCGGCAGCAACATCTCCCAACGTTGACAACGGCAGTTTTGCCCCTCCTTCGTCCCTCAACCGCAGCGACTCCCGGAACAACTCGAAGCTTTTGCTCCAGAAGGATAAGCTGATCGAATCTCTGCGGCTCGAACTTGCCGAGGCCCAAATCAAGCTGGTTGAGTCTGAGAACCAGGGTGGCGGCAGACTGCAGGAGGTCGAACGCCTGCTGATGGAAGCCCGCATGGCCAATGCCCGTCTCATGGAGGATAACGAGAGCTATCAATTGCTTCTCCAGGAAAAGACCCTCAATGGCGATTTCTCTAAGAATGACTTCAGCTACATGGGTGTTTCCGCCAACCAGGATGCGCTCAATGCGCTGGAGGGCCGATCCGGAGGCGCGAGCTTGGCGGATGAGCTGTCCGAGGACGCATCAGATGCCGGTGGCAATGACAACGAGCATGCCCGCCGCCTTGAATCGGAGCTCAAGTCCATGAAGGACCAGAACAAGGCGTTGACCCTCTACATCAACAAGATTATCGAGAGGCTCCTGCAGCATCAAGATTTCGAGCACATCTTGGATACCTCTACCGAGATCAAGCCGGCTGCGAACACCAACAAAGACCTCCCCGCTCCGCCGAAGGAGGGCGCTTCCGGAGCGTCGCTATTGCAACGAGCCAAGACCATGGCCGTCGGCCCGAACAAGCCCAAACAAAGGCCCATGTCTTACATGCCTTCGGCCCAGCCAGCCAACTCGGCACATACGGACCCAGAGACGGCGCCTCGCATTCCTATCGGGAATATGACCCGTTCCTCCAGCACCCGCCGTGCGCGTCCGATGAGCGAGCAGTTCACTGGTGTCAACCTCGTCAACCAGATGTACCGGGGACCGGATGGACCCATCTCCCCGCCCCTTGGCTCCCCCCGTACTCCGCGAACGTCGCAGACCTTCTTCGGCGGCAACCCCAATGCGGCTGCGCGGGCACCCAGTGGCCAGCAAGCACCCACCGCAGGAAACTTCCCCGGTATGCGCAGTGAGACCTCGAGCACCAGCGGCGACTCGAACGACCTCACGGGTACGCCTCCCTCGCAGTCCCCTCCGCGGTCACACCACGAGAAGCAGACCACTTTCGCTGGCAACAAGCCCCGTCCTCTGCGCCTGGTGCAGGAGAACAATGAGGCCAAGCAAGAAAACAACAAGCGATCCAGCTGGATGGGCTGGGCCTCCGGCTGGGGCAAGAAGGAAGAGGGCGGCGCCGCTGCCCCCGGATCCAACGAAGCTATCCCCGAGTAATCGGCACATACTGACGCCGTTATGTTTATGACCTCATTCTTTGCTTTGCATCGCATAGATTTCTTCCCTCTTGTCCAACCTCATCTTAGTATCGGACTTTGGCATTGTTGGATAAGGAAAGCAATAAAACACAAGCCGGGATACCCCCTGATCTGCGCTGCTTGGTTTTCTCTTTGCACACGGGGCCTTGGTTGGCATTTACGGGCAGTGTACGAACGAAACATTGGGTCTGGAGGCGCTGTCCATTTCGTGGATGCTATCGTTTGGCTTCTTTCCTCTTCTCATGGCTATATGTTTATGCCTTTTTATATTTTGGGTACTAAACACTACACTTATATCTAGTCTTCAGTTTTTCACGGGGGAAAGGGAGGGAGGCAGGGACATTATATGGTCTGCAAGAGATGTGGTTGATTGAGGTGGATAGGGGAGCTTCCCTGGCGGTGTTTTCTTCTTCGATCATGAACAGGCAGCACTACCTTGATTGGGTGCTGGAAACTTGATGACAAGCGTCTGCTACTACGATGTGGCTTTACGGATGTATGAGTCCTTTTGGCTATGGCCTGGCTAGACGCAATGTTGGATAGATACATGAGTAATGCTAAGATGGATTGACGTTAGTTAGACTTCTGTTCCTCGTCTACCATGATATGTGTGATGTCGTGACTTAGCATGTCTGGTGAATGTTTCGCCCGTCCCAAACGCCCGGGACGGGGTATATGCTTTTTGAGGTTCGCAGTCCATGGTGAGGCTAGGCCATTCAAGAAGTTCATCATAGTAAGTATTTCTCACCGTCCCTCGCTCACTTGGGCATAGAATGAACGTTCAAGTCGGTGATAAATAGCTATTTGAAATTCGCAACAACCCAAATCTTGCAAACCCTTCCAAGCAACACCGACCTACCTATCCATTTCACTTTCCCTTCATCAACATCCCCGACTATGATCCTGTCTCTCATGCCTTGATCCGTCGGACTATCCGGTTGCACACATGCATAGATAGACACAAACGTCTTTCGAAAACCTGACTCGACAGGATCTGTGGTAGTCGAGTACTATGAAGAAGGAGACCCCCCTTGGTGCATTGCCAACTGGTTGGATGAGAAACATGCTTGACCCTCTCACAACCGGATACTCGATGGCGGAAATCTGGGGGAGCATAGAACAGTTCAGGCCGCCTCCCACTACGTGTTTCCCAGGAACCATTTTCCCCATGAGTGGTCTAGACTTTCCACACTACAGCTGTCTCATTCCTCACATTCACTGGCGCCGTTCCGTTCCACTGACACTGAGGGCTTGACAAACAAGAGTGGTACATCCTGCTCTGGGAACCGTTATAGATTTACTTTTTGCTTATTGCATTTCGTTCTTTATTCATGGGTTTTCAGTGCCGTTACAAACGGCTGCTGCCGCTGCCGACAAAGGCATCGAGCTTCTTCTGGTCATAGACGTCCGCCTCGACCAGCTTCTCCCACTTCTACCATTTACATGAGTTAGTATCGCTACTTTTAGTCCATCTCAATGTGACAGAAAAGGAGCAAACGAGATGATTGTACATGTTGTAGCATGAACAATGCGTGCCCCGCGCGGAAGAGAGAGAATATGTGGTAAACGTACCTTGTCTCCTGAGACCTTGATGAGGGTGGGCAGGTTAGTCACGTTGAACGGCGCCTGTCTCCACGGGTTCTCCTTCGTTCTCCACCTGTCATGGCGGTCAAATCAGCTCAAAAATTCATTCTCTACGACAAATGTCTTATCACTAATAGAGAGGAATACAGTCGGCCATGCGAGTATCAGACATGAAGAAGGTGATGAAAACATAGGGTGAGGGGGGGAGACAGGGTCAACTCACTCATCAGGCAACCCGGCGTAAACGACCCGGACGGTCTCCTCGCCGCCACCAAACTTCTTCTCAATGTACGGCTCCGCGGCGGTGCAGTCGCTGCACCACGACTTGCCATTGCGGTGCGAGGCGTAGACGACGAGGAACGCCGGCTTGGACTCGCTGGCCTCGGCTACGAGGGCCGCGGCGACGGCCGAGGCGGGCTCCTTTGTGGTGATGACGGGCATGTTTTCTGAATGTGAGTGTTGGTATTTTCAGTAACAAGTTGTGCTCGATGTGAGTGAGTTACTAGGTTCGCAAGACTCGGTTGCCCAAAGTGATTAAAGGCTGATTCGAAATGAACGTTGTTATATGACTCGGGAGGAAGGCAGCGAATGGCATAATACACTCAGTCGTTTGCGTTATTTCGGGGTTCACGAATTCGCAAGAAGACATGTCCCGAAGCTTATCCGACTGCCTCACACAAATGGTACCCTTTTCATGCCCAGTAGAAAATCACCAAGATCTCTCATGTGAAGTGAATGGACACCTATGGTTACGGGTCCCGGCTACCATGAGATTGAATAATGGATGTAAGTAACTACGGATAATCAGGCTCACTTTGCGAAGCCAGATAATCTTCAGCCCGCTTGAGTGCGAGAATAACGAAAGAACCCCTGCACCACAAACACGAGTAAAAAACCACGGAGCTGTTACGAACATCACTCATTCAGCATTTCAAATGACCAACTCTCTGTTAACAAAAGAGTCAAAAAGAATTATGACAACTGTGAGATTCGAACTCACGCCTCTTTCGAGACCAGAATGCTCCCTGGTATCAGGGAAGGTGTGGGGTTGCTTCTAGACACGCCCTTTATCTTGAGTCTGGCGCCTTAGACCGCTCGGCCAAGTTGCCCGTTTCCGAAATCACTAGCAGAATCTCGAGTGGATCAGATGTAGATGCCAGCTTTTGGTGCAGAGGAGGCTCATCAACCCTCTTAGTCTTCAATCCCCCCTCGTGACCGCCCCCCTCCATCTCCCCAGTCAACAATTCTTTATGTACCTTGGTCGGTTTACCGCATTTCATCATCGTTCATCATCCGTACGGATACTTCAAAGGGGGTGTACTGAGAAAGCCAGGTTCCATACGGAGTACTCTGTACCATACTCCGCATTCGTACACTGCGTAACTACGTATGAATACCTAACCCGAGGGCAATAATACGGAGTACGGCCAACACAAAAAAGCAAACAAGAGATGTGCAAGAAAAACACAGATAGAGGGTTGCGGTGGGCCCGGCCCGCCTCCGATCGGAGAGGTCAACCTCCAACTTCCAAGGGTGCCTGGGCATCAACCCCCCCCCCCCCCATGTTGCTTGGGGGATCTGTTTACTTTTTACCCACAGATCGTCCCCTTGTGATGTAAAGGCGGTCAGTGGGAAAACCCTCATCCTTCAGAAACCCTTTTGATGAGCTGCCAGCTGGCAGGGTCATGCGAGATGCACAAAAACATGTTTCGGGATGGGGATGGGGATGGGGGGCCAAGGTTGCGGAGGGGATCTGTTTATCCTCGGCTGGCCAACTCCTGTGAGGTACAACTGAGGCTCTGGCCATGTCATACGTATGGGCCACGTAGTATGGAGTAAATAGGTAGGCATTCTATATGGCAAGTGGATGTCCAGTCTCAGAGAAGCTAGTATCTGCATTCTCTAGCTGTCTACCTAGCTCTGGGCTACCTTATCCATCACGATCCTCGCTAAGACTGCACAACCTTCATGTCAAAACTGACTTTCTTGTTTTTGTCACGCACCTCTGTGGGCGGATCTGAATCCTTGTCTTCTGATCTCCTCTGTTAGTCGTCAAGTTTCGTTACAATTACAACAGCGTAGTTGCTACTTTTCCCTTTCTAATGAACCCAAAACCTGAAAAAAGCCGTTGCAAAAAAAATAAAAAATTTCCCATACTGTTGAAGAAAGCAACGCAAAACCCAAATGTCCTAGTCCTTGCCCCATATGAAGTTCCTGTGCCTGAATGAGTGAGTTTCGCTGTCCTGTCCTGTGATTTGCTGTGCCGAGGAGTGGCATGTGGTCCACGAAAGTTGTGGTCTGGCCGGATGATGAAAGTCAACGCAAGAAACAAAAGCTGCGTGAAAACGCTAGCTGGAGAAACAAGAGTCATCGTAATCAGCGATGCTCTCGATGATGAGAGAAATATATACAGTTCGCTTTTGTCTGTCTTTGTTCCGAAGCATTTGTTGCTGGAAAGCCTCGTTCAACGCCGCTTTTCCCCCTGAAATACTATGCTATGCCATGCACGCTCAATATACAGAACAAGTTGACAAAGAAAAATGATCGAATGTGTCGACACCTTATGGTTCAAGGCCCGGTAGTTCTCCAGGGAGTGTAGTGTTCGGTCGGAGAGAAGGGTCATTTGCCGAGTTTGGCTTGACTGTTGTTCTGCCAGAAATGGGTGCGCTTCTAACCCGCTGGCTCAATGGTAAAGAATAGCGGACGACACCTTTGACGATCAAGTCGAATTCATCCTGGATGATACGACCCCACCGCTCAGAACCTCCAGCAGAATGGTTGCCTGGAAGATGAAGTCTCATGGTGCCCGTCGATGCCGATACGCCCTTGTTGAAGAAAGACCCCTCGAAAGATAGCGGGCTGTCGAACTCCATGATGGTTCCGAGTCGCATGTTGGGAGCGTTGTCTTCGTCTGGTGGATCATCAGGAGGATCATCGCGAATATTCATGTCCGGATCTTCCAAATCCCCTTCATGCGGCCGCTTCCACCAGTCAAAGTCGGTGCCCGCGTGAGGCGACTTGGCAAATATCTCCAGATTCGCCTGGTCAATAGAGACAACCACGATGTTGGGGTTGTGAGCTTTGACCGTCAGGTCGAACATCAATTCTGGGTCACTAGCCAAGACGTTCTTGACAGATACCAGCTGGATGTCTGTCAGCGGCTGCGAGGTCGCGAACATGAAGCCGATCGCGCCAGTAATGACGAGGAGCAACATCATGGTCACAACCAAACAGGCTGCGAACCTATTCAAATAGGATGGTTGCTGCCTGTACGCCTGCGATTCGAGGTTCCGCAGATTTGCAGGTTGACGTCGACTCCTCCTCGAAGACCTTACTGTAGACGAAATCAATGGGGTGCGCTCGTCGTCAGCGCCAGTGGTCGTGGTATCATCGGCCGCATCATAACGAGCCATCTGAATGGACGATCGCTTTCCGAGCGCGTGCGGTCCACCTCTAGCGGAACTTGCAACCCTAGGACTAGGAGGGCCGGATGACTGTCTCGAAGTGTTGCCCGAGAGCTTAGACCGAGCAGCATTTGGAAAGAGTGATTCGTTGTCGAAAAGTGAGGGGTGTGAGTTTCCTGGCTGTCGACCCCAGCGACCAAAGTGATTGTGGTGGTGATGCCGACTCGTACCTCTGCCCGATCCAGGGCCCACACTCCTGCCGCTGCCCTTACCATCTTCATCGACGCCAAGGCTCTCTGCTCCGTTGCTGTTGAACGTGTTGACGAATTTCATACTCTTTTTCAGACCGACAGCTGCGGCGGCGGCGCCGCTACCCTGTAGAGCCTCGTGAATCGAGCGCATCCCCATACCGCCAGGTCTGTCGGCCTGGCTAATCATCGAAGTAGCACTAGGTGTTCGCGAGTGGAATCTGCGCCTGTTTTCAACATCCGGAGGGTTGCTATCGTAAACGAATGTCTCTTCCGAGTCTGACGTATTCGCTTCGTCAACGGCGCTGGCCACTTTAGCCTCAAAAATATCTGCTTTTGACGATGCTGATTCAAGTCTAGTCAGTAAACTGCTCATAAATGGTATTGTGCGTATGATGGGTAAGTTGCAAAGGGAAATACAGATGCGACATCGAAACTGCCGCGGAGGGCGCACGATTTCTGCTCGCGGCCCCGAAAACGTTGTTTCAAGCGGCGACAAAGCATCAGTTGCTGCAGACACTGATCGCAGACTGTGCTGGTGATGCCGAAGAGTCCTGGAAGAGTACAAAATTGAATCTGGTGTCTCACCGTTGCCAGAGTTGACTGTAGGTTGCTTCCGACTCGTCTTCTTCTTGTCTTTCTTGGGCCTAATCGTCTCGGTGCTTGGCTTCGCCCTGAGTGTGCCGCTGCTAGCTTCCAATTTAGAAGCAGGTGCCAATGCCACCTGGGGAATAGATGACACTGTTTCCGTCTCGACTATGAGGGAAGACCCTTCTCCAGTTGCCTTGCTCTTGCCTTGCTTGTTGGACAGCACACTAGACTGTCGCGTAACGGTCGGAACAGGAGCGGTACTCTGCGATCGCACTCTGAGTGTTCCGTTGTCGCCCATGCTGTCGTGGGCCTGGAGGGCTCCCCTGCTGAGGCGAATGGTGCGATTGTTGTCCATTTGCGTCGTCAGGCTTTCGGCACTCACAGCAGCCTCGTGGGCCAACTTCTCATTGACCTGTTCCAGCGTAGAGTCCATTTGACCTGGCGAATTCGGCAAGCTTACTTCCTGTACTGTTTCCAAAGTCGAGCCGTTTACGGTTACTGGGGTCCGCACGCCAGATGGTAGTTGCGAGTCGTCGGTTTCGCTCTCTGACATGGAAGGGAGGGGGTCCGGTTGTGGAGACGGAGAGGCTTTCGTGAGATTTATTCTCGGGGCTTCCTGCTCGCCTTTTCGTGCAGTAGGTGGGATTTGAGGCTTATTGAGCTGAGGAGGGGGCGAGCGCAAGCGAGGCGACACAGGCCAGCGAGGGCTGTCTCTCGTTTGAGCTACCTCGGTATTGAGGGGGGCCTTCTGAGGGTTGATAGATTTAAGGAAGGATTCCTGGGAATTCGGGAGTAAAGTGGGAGTTGTCGCTGCGGAGAGTGTCCTAGACGACGTCGCTGGTCCTGGTATGTTGGTATTGGATCTGGGCGTTCGTACTGTAGTCAAGTCCTGATGGCTGCTCTTGCGCGATCTCAGGCCGGGCGTGGATGACGATTTAGGCGTATTGACGGGCTTCTGTGCCTTTTGTGTCGGGGAGGTGTCGCGGGAGTTGTGTAGTGATGGGGTTAAAGACGTTGTGGCGGAGGAGTGTTTAGAGTGCGGTTGGGTCTCGGCGGCGTTGGTCGAGGGAGTAGTGATGGTCGTCTCTGTGTGTTCTATGCGTGACTTGCTTGCGTCAGAGGGCCCGTTCGTGGTGCTGGATGTCTTTTCCATGGCCGAGGATTTTCAAGTGAGACAGCAAAGGGAATGGAGCCTCGTCTAGTCCTCATACCAATCGAATGTGGGTATTGTTAACTCGGGAGCCGGCAGTCGTAGTTCGGAGACAGGCCTATCATGATGTTCAACAATGCGACCTGGGATAGAATGGATTTCTGGGTGGAAGGCTGGGACCCTATCGGGAATCTGGAGATATCGGGCGAGTGGTTGTTGTGCTGCTTTGGGGCCGATTTGAGGCAAGACGAATGCGCGGTCGTGTCTAGGTTTCGTGGTTGACGGGGTGCTAAGCTACTGGCGATTGGGCTGCTGTGGAGCTGTTTGACAGGAACACAAGAGTGAGAGTGAGATGGCAGAATGTTTCCTGGTAGAAAAGAATATGGGTTGACAACGAAGAGTAAGAAGCTCTAAATGAGGGGATTGGAGGGGGGAAGAAAGCAAGTGTGGTGGTGTAAGTTGAGAAGGGGAGTGTGTGGTGTGTCTGATGTAAAAGACGAAGACGAAGACGGCTGGAGGTGGTGGAGGTTGTGTGTGTGTGTGTGTGAGGTGGGAGACCAGACGGGAATGAGGTCAGTAAGGTCAGTCAGTGCAAAGCCAAAATTTGCTGGGTGCGCTGGCACTGGTGAATGGATGGATGGCGTCGGTGCTTGGTGAGGGAGGCACTTGTTGGTGCTGGCAACTGGGTGATTGGGGAATGGGGGGGGGGGAAGACCTCCTAAGGTTGGAAGAGAGAAGGTCGGTCGGATGGTGTGTGCTGGGATGGACCGGTCGGTAAGGAGCGGGCTCTTAGCGTGTGACGCCTACGACCTGCCCAGCAAGTGAGTGAGTCTCAGAGAGACGGTAGAGACCTCAGCGGCCTAAGGTTGAGAAAGCACCTGCCGGAAAGTAGTGCCTTGTTTGCAAGGGGAGCAACCAGGAAGGTACGGTAGGTACCTAGGTACATGGCTCGTGATGCGGTCGGTACGTATCGACAAGTAGCCAGCCTCCCGCGAGGACTCATGCGCCTTGCTGTTGCTGGGGGCCGGCCGCGGTCATCAAAAGGGCAGGTACGAGGATACACCTGCGACTACTTGGCTCGAAGTATCCGGGTCTGGCTGCTCTGGCGCATTTTGCTGCTTCCTATTCTTCTCTAGAGGGCAAGGGCGAAGCACAGATGCTGCCGCTGCCGTCACTGGGCACTCCGCCGGAAGTGAGAAGAGTTGATGTTCCCTCCGATGATTATCTTCTAATACTGGACTCTCACCTTCGTACTCTATAGGACAGGCCCCAGATGCCATCGAGATTTCCCGGTGCCTACCTATGTACTTACACAGTAAGAATGTGTTGTGTACTGCCGCTTCCCGTGCAATCAAGCCGACTTGTATAGACGCAATCCTACCTACCCATCATCCGTCCATCATACACACACCTTTGCTATTAACCCATGCCCTGGAGCCGGCCGACCAAGCACGAGGCAGGGTGTCTTTGAAAGGAACGGCGCGGATGTGAAGCAAACAACCGTTTTGACAGAGGCCCCTCAGAAAGGCTGCCCTATCATAGATTCTGTGGGCGAGGTGACAAAGACATGCCAGGGCAACGAGTAAGGAGCAGCAAGACAAGTGACAACCAAGAAACCCAAAATGAAAAGGTGAGGGAGGAGAAAAATTCAAAAAAGCAAAATCATAATAGCACCGATTCATGAAGGGAAGGGCGACCCTGATGCGCTTCCCCTAGGCTCCTTTGAATGCTTGATGTCTCTTATTAGCAGTCGATATCGTTTCCGTATCCCTTCATTCCTCGTCTTTGTCTCCATCCCTCCTTTGCCTAAGGTACGGATACACAGTACTTCCCACCAATTTTTCTCTCGCCTCCCAGCTCCATCCTGGCATAAAAATGTTTCTGCTCAACTTCGGCGCCTCTTGGAGAGCGTAAGGGCTAACGGAGACATGGACAGGTCTAGGTCTGAGGGAGCTTGGTGCTCGAGGCACCGCGGAAGGGTTCCTGAAAGTCCGCAGCAATCAGAAGCTTCGGTCTGGGACCCATCAGAACAAGTCAGCAACGAAGCTTTTCCCGTCTCAGCCGATTCTGATTCTGTCTTTTTCGGTTTCCCGTGCGGCGTGCCGTGGGCAGAAGGGCTCAAGCCATGTGCTCGACGTATCGTCTTGTCCAGTCCTGCCGGGTAACGGATTGCGTATACGGGTCGCGGTGAGTGGTATCCTGGGCTTTCTCCTCCTCCTCCTCCTCCTCCTCCTCCTCTCCTCTCCGCCGAACAGAAAAATCGGATCTCTGGAGACTGGAGACTAGAGAGGGGCAGCGCAGCGGACGGATTCCTTCAGCAGCCAACGCGAGAAATGGACCCGATTCTGCTGCAGGTCCCAGCATAGCGTCACACAGGGCAAAAGGCGGAAGGCCCGGCGAGCGATGGAAGGGAATATTGCGACTGCCAACTGGGACTCTGCGACTGCGAGGAGGGGGGCAGAAAAAAAAGAGGGGAGAAAATCAGGTAGGTCCCATCAATCCTCACCTGTCCGTCCACTGTCCAGTCACTGCCAGTCCCCGGGTGGTAGGGTGCCAGGCCAAGCCGGTGCCAGGCACAACGTCAACACCACTGCACCAGTGACCAGCATGAGGTGCCCAACCTCGGAGTTTGCAACAGTTCGCGACCGGCCTACGGTACGTACCTGTCCACCTTGCTTTCCTTTCCGACGATACGGAGTGACCTTCCCGGACGAATACATAGTACTTCAGAAGTTCTAGGTACGTTCCTTTGTTGCCGCTAGACATGGACCACTCTGGCGGGGGAGGAGTCCCGTCTTCCAGGTTCCTTGGAGGTACAAGATGAGGTACGAAGTACTCCATACAGAGGTACAAAGGAAACCACCTTTTTTGCCCTTGGTCTCCATGTCTCTCTTTCTCACTGACCGAGAAGGCTCTGCCTCACTTCTTCTAGTGTAGAGTTCTTTCTCCCTCCAACAAATTGCTTGGGCCGAATAAGTTTAGGAAGTTAGGAGAGACTGCGACCGGCAAAACCCCTGAAACCACGCGGGATGCCTCAGACCGCAATTCTTACTCGGATGCTTTTCTCCATATTATCACTTTCTCAAGAATCTAGTCACCCACTCACCCAAGTCTGCCCGCTGGGCTGTGGACAAGAGTGGATGTCAAATGCAGCCCAAGTCTCTGGCCCACGACGCCCAAACTCGCCCATCCGCAATCTGGAATTTTTCTGGATGCAACTTTCCTCGTCGGCCCCCCTTGCCCTCCCCCGGGCTCCAGGCAAGGCAAAGCCAGGACACACGGCGCAGCTGATCTCCTTCCAGGAATCCACCCCTCTTGCTTTTGCCTTTGGCATATTTTTTCTTTCTCCCATCGTCCATTCTGTTGCACCGGCGGCCTGTCACCGACCCCCCGGGAGCCATCACCGCTGTTTAGAATCGGATTTCGTGGGACCTCGGGACACCTTCCTTCCAATAAAGGCCCCTGGTCTTCTTCAGACTTCTCGTCACCATCTCCTGTTCCCAGGCAGAAGAATCCGGCTTCTGCGAAATACACTACGAAGTACGGAGTACGGATACAAAGTTACAATCTCATCGCTGCCATCAACCACCGTCTACAAAGTACATTCACTGCCACTGGGTTCTTTTGTCTCTATCCGTAATCACACTCGGCTTCTCGAGTCTTCTATCTTGGCTGATATCGGCGCTGCTGTGGGCGCATTTCCCAGGGCCAAGGGTCGCAAGTGCTCTAGTCAGGAACTGGAGGACCGGGACCACGGCCGGGACCACGGCCGGGACCTGCAGTCTGGCGCATCTCTTGCTTCAAAATTTGCCATTTCCAAAGTTCGGGTACGGTGTACCAAATCCAAGGCACGGAAGAACTCAGGGATATCCAGCAAATTTCTAATAAGTCGTTTGATTGCCGCCATTTCGCTACCACACAATCTGCTTAGCTCGCGGTTAACCGCAACTTGATAAAGAGTCACAGGACAGACTGACAGCAAACAGTAGTGCTGTGGCTTTTGGTATCCTGACGAGGACGCTGCACGCATGCCACTGCTCCATACGGGTACTTTACAAACAAATCAAGGGCCTTTACGTGGGCTTCGGACCCGGTGCCGAAGCACTATTGAAGTTGACGCATGTCTGATGAGGCTTCTACCCTATCTTAGCCAACCAGGCACAACTTACACTTCCGCCCTCCACCACGATTTACAATCCATGGGTCATAACGCCCGCCGCGATCGGATGCCTGCTTGCTCGCTTCCAACGGTCGGCCATTGAAGTCGAAATGGCGGCGTTATGTTAGATACCTCAACATAGAAGGTTCTTGCCAGGGGCATATTCCCACCTTTTCGACACTAGCCACAACTCCATCTACTTGAAATGTGGTACTTCGCATCGATTATCTCGTCAAGGAACAACACTTTCGAATAATGGCATTTCAAACTCTGTATCCAAGAGGCAGAAGCCCCATTGGGTCCAAGATATTTTTGTGGTACTCTCTCATCTCTGCCTACGAATACGGCTGTCGACAAGAAGTCTGTCTTTGCCAACAACCGAGTGTCTGCAGGTCAGCAGATCAAGATCAAGCCAACGTTCCTCCCGCCAGCTTCCTCGAGCCTCTCACAGACGGCCAAGTGGACGACGTGGCAGGCACACGACTGGCTGCATCTCCCATGTGAACCATCCTTGGGCTCTGGGTTTAGGGGGCCGCTATCTTGGGTGCTTGGGTTCTGAGGAAAAGTTGCACCGGCCCCAGGCTCCCGACAGAACGTCACAATAAAACCCACCCGCCCACGATGCCCTGATGGTACCGGGCTACTGGGGGCTTTTGCGACGTTCGATTGGTCGTCGGCCGTTCCCCTAGGATCCCACAGTCTGGGGGACAGGCAGAAGGAAACGACTAGAAAGGCGCGGTGAAGGCTACCAAGCTGGTTTGACGTCTCCCGCTTCTGCCCATTACTCACATCGCATAGTCAGCGCCGCCTTCGCAGCAACGGTTGTGCAAGAGTGGGATCTGGGCCATATCCAACGCCGCCGTTGCTATTGCTCTCTCCATCGACGCCAGTCTCTTTGCGGTCCTGGCCCATCGGACCTTGACCCATCGTATGATGGGCCGCGGCGGCCCCCGCGAGACAGGATGACAGGCTCCGTTCCCCGCCGTGCCCGCCTAGACCGAGGTGCTCACCGGCCATCCTGAGCACCGAAACCCGACGAACGGCTGATCTGGCAGCTGATGCTGTGCGACAGAAGCGCTGAGCAGGCCGCTGCGGCGCTGATAGGTTGTTCTTCCGGCTCTTCTCCACGTTGCATCGAAGACGCTGCCTCTAGCTTCTAGACTCCTGCTCTGCTTACCTTGCACGAGAGGGAAGTGAGCACCGCCAAAATGTGGCTCAGTCAGGCGCAGAGAGGATGGATGCTCCGTAGCAATACGTCAGAATCTACGCTGCAGCATTCCACCCGTCTAAAAAGGGTGCCCGGGAGGATCGGTAGGCCTGGCAGGTCTCACCCTCCCGTGCGATGGTGCCGAAGTGGTGAGCACTTTCTCAACCCGCGGGGCTCACATCACCAGTCATAGGGGAAAGCCAAGCAGGAAAGCCCAAGTTGCTGTTGTCTGGCGAGAAATACGGCTCGCCTCTGCTGGCGTTCCCCGTCTAGGCCGTCCTCGCTCCGTGACCTGTCTCAAACTATCCATTCCCACAGACTTGGCAGGCCGAACCAGATGCCTTCCTTGGCCCCCACACACATAGAGAAGCGTGAAATAGGAGAGACAAACCACGTCAACGTTTCCCACGTCCGTGAAGGAAGCTTTTCCAGTCGCGGCGCGTGATGTTGATTCTTCCAAGGAATACCTAGAAAAAGTTCTTTTCCACCTACCGAATCCCTCAACAACCCCCCAATACCCCCCAACTCCCCCCCGCGGTGTCAGCACGCCGGCCGCGGGCGTTGATCATCTGCGCAGGAACCCGGAAGTCTATAGGTTGGGACAGTCGCAGTTTAGTATGTAATGACGTTCCACACCTCTTTGGGAGGTTCAGTTTGAGAGGTAGGTGGGTAGGTAGGTCTACCTAGGTATTAGGCAGACGAACAACATCGAGACCAAACTCCCTACCTACGCAACCCACCCGCATCCCACTGGTTGGGTAGGGTAGGTATACCCGCCATTCTGGGAAAGACAAAGGGCGGCGGCGGGCGCCTGTCAGATGGGACGGGCCTTGCTTCGTCTCGTCGCGATGCGCTGGCGGGAACGCAATCCGCGCGGGTAAGGCAGCCTTGTTCTCTCTCTCCCTGTTGCATACCACCCGCCCGATTGTACGGTATGTCGTCTTGGGCGGGAGGTTTTGGTCCCGTTTACTTTGGTGGTGGTGGTGGTGGTATAAGGCGCAGTTCGGATTGGGTGAGCGTGGGCGTGGCCTGTTGTAATTTGTTCCTCTTTTTGCTGTCAAGTCTCACACTTTTTCTTGGGAAAGAACTGAACTGCATGCACAGAGCCACGTTGGCCCGCCCCTCCATCTTCCCGTTTTCATCCTATTACTTACTACTGATACTACGCATTTTCTGTTTTCCTTCCGGCTTCCTACGGTGGTTGATGTACATACCTGCTCTCTGCTCCTCCCAAATGAGGCGTATCAAGATACTCTATACTTGGGTGCAGACCCGGGTAAGGTGGCTCACCCCCCTACCCTTTCCTTCCCTATTATCCCCGAAATAGGTGCGAAGCTTTCCTCCTCCATCGGTCCAATCCGATCAATGGAAGGAAATGGTGATGCAAAGTCGAGCATGTATTTGCGGAAAAGGAAGTTGTCCATATCGGGCGAGTAGGTAGGCACACTTTCGCGGCTCGCCTCGAGGCGAGTGCTGATTCGAGAGTTCATGGCAACAAAAAGGTCCAATCAACTCATGACAGTAATGGTAGTAGTGTGCCAGGCTCGCCGTTGCGAGGCGTATCATGATGACTGCCTGACAAATGATGACTCCTAGACCTTTCGGCGGTGGTTGGTCCGGAATCAAATCCCTGTCTCCAACGGAGGAAACGGCTTGGGTGATTTAGAATGTCTTGATGGGGGTTGTAGGCTGTGATGAGTTGCCTCGGCAAGAAAATGAGTGCGATGAAGCTGTTATGATCTCAAGAGTTTCCAGGATCCGGAAGTGCGGGTCGAGATGATACGTTGTGCCTCGACATCTTTTTTGAGCGCCGTGTAAGCCGTGCTGTGATGTTGAACGGTTTTGGTGTATCTTGCTCAATACGACTGAGGTAATTTATGATGCGAGTGGTTAGATTTCAACTTCTAGGAGCCAGTTGTGACCCAGCGTATGCCTTGCCTGTGTAGTTGATACCGCGTCGTGTCTATCTCCGTCTAGTCTAGGGAAAGCTTCCAGAAGCGTTCCTCACGGCGACATGAACACGAGAAACGAGAGAAATAACGGAATCACCATCACTAGGAAGGACAATAGGATAACTTGCAGACCAGATAATCACCCGAGTTTCATAGACAAGCACAGTAATTCTTCATTGAATGTGATCCACAGCCTTTCTACCGTCATATCTGTTCCACAACCTGATATCTCCTTTCATTTTGTACGCCCAAACGCCAGGCCATGAGTTGCCGTTCTATAAATGCATTTCCGCGAACAGAGACCATGTTAGACGGACACCTAAGCAAAGTGAATGCCCTCCGAGTTGAGAGCAGAAAGCAGCTTCAAGAAATCCGTCTCGTCGCACATGCGCGATCTCTTCTCCATGAGCTCGGTGCTCTCGAGCGCGCGTTCAATCTTGCTCCGCACAAGCGCCGCGACCTTGGTCTTCTTGCGCTTGCTCTTGGTCTTCTCGGGCACCTTGGCAGCCGTGGCGTTGAGCTCCTTGAAGAACTCGGGTGTGTCGTCGTCCATGGGCTCGGCATCCTCGTCATCGTCCATTTCCATGGCGTCGTCCTCGTCGTCCTCGACAAGGGAGTCGTCCAGGGGCACGTTGTTCAAAGCAGCCCATGTGCGGTAGTTCTGACAGCGTATTAGTTCCTCTATCTTCGTAGGTAAACACCCTGAGACTGACCTTCTCCAGCATCTGGAGCACTTCTTTCGTACCAAGCCAGCTGGCTCGCATGGTCCTGTTCTTACGGTTGAAGCACTAAATGAGTTGTCAGCTATGAGATCTCTGAGGCGACAGTAGCCCTACTTACAACGCGGAGAAGGCCATCGAACTCCTCGAAGGCGATGGTGGGACGCTCGGCTCCCTGCTTGGGCACAATGCGAACGACGCAAGAGTCGACCTGTGGCGGCGGCCTGAAGTTGGCCTTGGACACCTTCATCTATTACAGGTTATCATTAGACCGTCAAAGATGCATTCCCCGGTATGTTTACTCACCACGTTCGAGCACGTTGCCCAGAAATTGGCGTTCACACTCAGTCTGCCGTAGAGCTTGTCGCCGGGCTTGGCCACAAGTCTTTGTCCGAACTCGAGCTGGAACATGAGAATCGCTTGCCGCGGGGGCTTCGGCATCGCGAGCATCTTGAAAACCAGGGGCGAAGAGATCTAACGACAGGTTAGCTACGCCGCGCGCCTGTATCGAAAATATCAAGAGAACGTGCCTGGTAAGGTGTGTTTGAGATGAGAACGTCGAAAGGAACCCATTCGACTTTGATCGCATCTCCGAGCATGACATCGAGCTTGCGCTGCTCCAGAGTCCCTTGTACACGCTGTTTTGGTCCTCGTCAGCCTCCAAGTATCGTCCTGGATGCGTATTATCCAACCTTTGTGACTTCGGCCGCCATTCGAGGGTCGAACTCGATCGCAATGAGCTTCTTCGCCTTTTCGAGAATCCTGACTGTCAAGTTACCAGTTCCCGGGCCGATTTCGAGGACAGTATCCGTGGGCTTAAGATCGGCTTTCTGTATAGACACATTTAGTGCTTGGTTCGTTCTGAACGGGGGGAGACTGGGCGTACGTGAACGATCGCATCCGCCACACCGGGGTTCTTCAAGATATGTTGACCAACATTTGTCTATGGCGGCAGTTAG